ATTCCTAGAAGATGCTTTCAAAAAGCTTACACAGTGGGGAGGCTTTGAAGCCAAACTGGGACACAGATGCAGCAGTCAGGAATGTAGTGTGACCACCGCTTTAGAGCCCCAGCCCAGACCCACCTGCACAAGGAAACTCAAGTTTGCTGCAGTTAAATGTGCAGATTTCCAGAGGTGGGCAGCTCTTCCAGCTAAAGTCATGGAGTTTGACACTCCTTTTCCCTCGGAATCCTATTTCCCACTAAGCAGTACCCACTAGAGGGCAAGGGTGCTCTACGGCAAGGTGGGTAACTGTCGAGAGACCAAAGCAGCTTAACAGGCAGCAAAGCATTCAGTCCTACCTGTATGTCACTGCTAGTTGAATAATTTTCTCTAATCAACTCTCAAGTGTCCCCCGTGGTGTCTCTAATCTCATTTGGATTTCATTTATAACCCTGTACAACGTAATTCTGAATACAGCTGACTTATTTTATTGCTTGGCTGTGATGTTTTCTCACCTGTACATCACCAACTGCCTTTCTCCCTCCAGACAAACAGAAACCAGGGACCTCCATGGTATCAGAGAGGTAAGGCTGGTCACACTATTCACATCCTATTGAAAATGCCAATTTTGTTCCAGAACTAATTTTAGCAAGGAAAAGAGGCTGCTTTGTTTATTTCAAGTGGAAACATTTCAAGACATCATTGAGATAGATTAAAAAAAACAAAATGAGTGTTGATAGCATCTCATCCTCTGCCTGACAGACTCAAGGGTAGAAGTTCAATATCTAGGGGCCTCATTTCAAAGCTGCACTGATATCTGTGAAGACTCCCCACCTTCCAAAAGCAGTTTGCTTGTCTGTCTTTGCCTAGGTACAGACTTGAGGTCTAAACTTGGGTTTCTGGATCTCAAAGCAGCCTCAGTGAGATGAGATCAGGTCCCTAAAAATATCTCCCAAGATACCTATTACTGTTACCTAGCAACAGTGGGATAAGGGGTTCCCAGTCCAGAGACCTTTAGAAGAGAAGCACCAAGCAGAGGATGGTCCATCTGAACCCCATGGTCCATCACCCCCTACCCAAGAAGAGAGGCTGCACATGGGAAAGCAGCAGGAAGTAAGAGCTGGAAGGAATGAAAATATGTGGCTCCTACTTTTCCATCTGATAGTTTCCTACCAAAGTAATAAACCTTGTTTGGAAAGAGGCAAGGGACACAGGGAGCAAAGTCCCTAAGCATTTGTGTGCCAAATTTGCATCAACATCAATGGTCCCAAATACCCTTAATGATCATGATCTAAATGATATGCAGCCCCTGAGGCACTCTAATTCCCAAAGTCATCCAGTCTCCACTGGCACTAAAAGTATATCTCAGCCCTCAGGGTACAAGAAAGGGGAATTCCACCTTCCTAACACTTGTAACTCTCACTCTTAAGAGAGACACTGGCAATACAGGAGCAGTAGCATGATCGGATGTAAAAACATCCAGAGCTCCCTTTGCATGACAAATAAAGGCACAGGACAGAGGGACACAGGAATCACAGAATCATTTTGGTTGGAAAAGACCTTTAAGATCATCGAGTTTCCTTTTGTTCCAGTTCTGGTAATGGCTGCAGGGCTAGAAGGTAATGCTGTCACTGAGAACCAGATCCAAACTGCTTCTTGATTCTGCCTACAAGAAGTGACACAAGTGACAATGGTGCTTTCTGTCAGGCAAACCAGCACCACATCTGAATTTGTCTGAACGCACTGTCTCCCCAGATATCTCTGAACCTGTGTGTTCTGACAGGGGATGGGAAATTTGGCACTGAGGACGGGCCTGAATCAGGACAGCAACTCAAAGGGCAGTGAAAATCAGCCCTGGTCCCATGTATGAGCCAGCAGCAGCCCTGCCTGTTTGCCTCCAGTTGTGTGTAAAGAAACTCCCTTCTCTCATTTTCCAGAGTAGTTAACACTGCCTTCTCTTCTTGACAGCTGCTCGGCAGACACAAGCCAGAAGGATAACAGCATCACTCTGATCTCCATGAAGAACATCAACATGAACAACAGCATGAGTTACCCACCGTCAGAAAAGGTTTCCCTTTTAAGCCTTGCTTTTTAGAGAGTTAGCTGGGGATTATTTCTCTTGCTGGGTAAGAGCATGCCTTTGAGGTATTTCTTTGCTCTCTTATTCCTTCAGAAAGGTAATTAAAAAAAAAAAAAAAAAAGCTGCTATCAAATGCCTAAAGGTCCAAGGTGGTTCCAGTGAGCCTAGTGAAAGTTTGGGTGCCCACCTCAGGTGTACCCAAGCTGCCTGAACTCAAGGTGTCAAGTATACCTCATGTATATAGATGCCATCACCTAGGGCCAGTCATCAGAGCTAGAGTGGTCTGTCATTAAACAGGGGTAAATAAGCTAGCCTTAGTGAAGTCATGATCTCACCCTCTAGTCCAAGTTTACTACACTCCTGGTCTACAGGTGATGTTGGAGCACATTCCCACCAGTACTCTCAGATCCAGTCCATGTGAGCAATTCAAATAATTTTAAATTATTTTAAAGCTAAACTAGCACTGGGACTGGGTCTGAGGGAACACATTGCTTAACTTCATTTGCCAGCTGCTGATGCACCATGGTTTGTTCCTTTTGCAGGTGCTATGAAGCCAAGGACCCAGAACTTGAAGCTGACTCATGACAACCAGCAGTGACTTTCTAGGTTCTTTCTTTTTTTTTTTTTTTTCCCCTTTGGAAAAGAGCAAGGGTGGACTTTATATATAAATTATTATGTCCCTTCTGATCAGTACATTTACAGTAGCATCCTACATAGCTTCTTCTCCTGGGGTCTAAGGGCTTTCTCCAGTTACAGCCTGCCATGCTTAACGGTTAATATGTAACTCTATTTTTTATATGCCTTCAAATCCTCAGATTATTCCAGCAGCAAGAAGCACCAAGGAACCATCTACTTTGCTAATAAACTGCTGCCTTAGATTAATGGCTGTCATAGTCTGTGCCAGCCAGTCACAGGCTCGTTAATCAGTATAGCCCCATGCTGAGACAAACCCATGCATTAGAAAAGCATGATCTGAAGCTGAAGGCCTAATGGGACATAAATGGCCAAGTGCTAGGTCACACCCCAGCACAACTGCTCCAAGCCCCTTATCCTTGGTGCCCTCATTGTCCCCACAGCGGTGGGGATGATCATATCCACCTACCTCACAGGGCTGTTGTGAGGCTATGTTAATCAACGTCTGTAAAGCATTTGGAGAGCCATGAATTAAAGGTGCTGCTGAAATGCAAATTGCCATCTTAAATACTTTATTATTAATAACTGAGCTTCAGGCAGGCAGATCACTATCTTCCCACAGGTCCAACATGCTCAAAGAAGACTCATCTTAAATGTAAAGAACCAGGTTTCTGCACAGACAGGGTTTTATCGGAGTATAAAAAGGAGTAGCCACAAGCAAAATGCTGAACTACTTCATCTCTTGCAGTTTGGTAGCCCGAGTCTGCTGGGAGAGCTTCCATCTTCTGTACCACCATTTTCCCAGAGCTTCCCAATAGTCCAGAAAAGCAGATGCCCCTTCCAGTTCAGCCAGAGCACCCACCTTATGGTGGCACCAGAGTCACCACGATAATGAGAACAGTCCTTCGTTAGGCTCTGCTGTGCAACAGCTCACATTGAGAGCCAGCTGGTTCACAACCCGAGCTGGCTCAGACCCAGCTGCCAGTCCCTTTCACCACCTACAGCAAAATACATCCTTATAAGCCGAGTGACTGAGGATGATGGAGACATCAACACCCAGCCTCCACTTGACTGTAAGAGAAATGATGTGCTGTTGGGTATTTCTGGAGGTCTCGGCTGCCTTATTCAGTAGCATAATGTACTAAAGCACTAACTCTGCAACTACCTTTGCCTCTGCCCATCTTCACCATGACTCCTGCTTGCAAGCTTCACCAGCTCCACAGTCACCACAGACCTCCAGGGCACCCCATCTACCCAGCAGCACTACACCTAGATGCTGTCTTCTCCTAACATGAGCATCAACGTCCATCTACCCTGAAGGTAAACTGTGAAGTTAAGGAAAAAAGATCTAGCCAAGCACTCAAAAGAGGTATCACTGCACACATTCCCCTGCACAGTTTGATGAAACATAACAGTTCAGTTTGATTTAATTTTACAAGATGGATAGGAGATGTTCACCAAAATGTGCCATGCTAGAGGTAGCCATGCTTTGCAGCTGGCAATTAAATGTTCAACAAAATAAATGCTATGTTTGCACAACTCCTGCTGAGATCCAACACACTTTCCATCTTTAACATACTCACAAGGTAGTTTGATAAGGTATTTTTTAAAGAAATCAAGCTGTTCCAGTAAAATTCCTGAAAAGTAAAATGACACCACTCCACTCACCCAGCCTCCACCAGACTGGTGATTTGGCTTGAGCACAAGATCCCAGGTAATTCCTAGGTAGGTGGATCCAGGTATCTCCAGATCTCAGAGACCTATGACTCAGTGCAAGTAGGTTTTTAGTCCCAGGAAGACACCAGGTAGCTGGCAAGCAGCTGTGATATCAGACACTTTAGTAACTGCCAAGCTTTTCCTAACCTCCTCTCCACAATGACCTCCGAAAAATGGTCCCATGCTTAATTTTTATTCCTTTGTGCTCCTTCTTCCCATGGACTCTTGAGGATCTTGACAAATAACCTAAACCTGCTCCACTCTCAAACTGATCCACACCCTAAAGCAAAATTCTAACCTTGACCCTGTTCAAAAGAATGTATAAAAAGTAAACAAGAGAAGTGATGTAACCCCTAACTCCCAGTTGCCCTCTGCTCACCTGAAAGGAGAGATCTTCTCCAAGCTGCAGTGCTCCTACAAAGCACAACGGTGGATGTCCTGGTTTTGCTAGGATAGAGTTAATTTTCTTCTTAGTAGCTAGAATAGCTGTGTTTTACATTCAGTGCAGGATTTGTTATGAGAAGAATGTTGATAAGGTACAAGGACACCGTGTTTGTGTAGTTTGCAAGTACAAAGGACTGGGAGGGGGGAAGCGTAGTAATTAGCAAAACCAAGTATTGGCGTTTGGGTCTGCCAATGAGATATTCCATATCATACCACGTCACAGCAAGTACATTAATGGCCATTGTCTGGAAAACAGGAGGATTCTTAATGGAATCGCTTGGGGTTGCTCTTCTGGGTTTGCAGTTTCAGGTTTGGGGTGCCTTTTTGCTCCTCCAGGATTGCTATCAGTGGGTGGTGAGCAATTCTATTGTGCATCACTCATTTATAGATATATATTATTATTAACATTACTATTTTAATTTTATTTTATTTCAAATATTAAATTGTTCTTCTTTCAACCTACAAGTCTCTTTACCTTTAGCCCTCCAGTTCTCTCCTCTATTCCCTGCATGGAGGGCAGGAAGGGGCAGGGGGTGCGAGCAGCTGCGTGGTGTTTGGCTGCCAGCCAAGTTCAACCACCACAGTCTTTATACCAACTTGCTCACACTATGCCTCTGCTCCCGCCGCTCATTAGCCCAGCTCTAACTGGCACACAGGATGAGGGGAAACAAGCAGCAGCACTAGCAGAGCATGAATGCAGCTGGGAAGAGTGGCAGGAGAAGCCCTGGAGGGGTTTCCAACCAAAGCTCAGTCAGGGGATGTGGAGCAGACGATCCTCTGCACTCCTTCCAGTCTCAACATGATGACTCAAGACCATCTTGAGACCATTGCAGATGTCAAGAGGATGAGGCCAGACTCTTTTCAG